ACTCTCTCTCTCTCTCTCTCTCTCTCTCTCTCTCCCTCTCGTTTCTTCTTGATCAAGACGGAATCCAGAAATCCAGACAAAAAGCATAAGCCCTTTCTCTCTCTCTCCATCACTTGTTCTCTCTCCACCCCCCCTACTTAGCGGCCTCAGCCCTAAGTCCAGCAGCACTGCAGTAGTTGCTCTGTTTCTGTTGCGTCTACGGAAGCCTTCATCAACTGCTCTAGGGACATGAAAAAAAGAGAGAGGAGACAAGTTTGGTTGTCCAATAGGTATTGCAGGAGTGAAAGGAGGGGCAAATAATGGATAATGGAAGAAAAAGAACATGAGAGAGAGACTTCTCGGTGTAAGCCTATAGCTCCCCAGCATAGAACAACACCCACTCTCCGCCACTTGCATTATGGGATTCACGTTGGTTCGCTCATGCTGCTTTTGGGATGATGTTTTCTGTCCAAACGCCATTGCGGCCCCCGGGGATGATGGTGTCGGTTCCAATAAAAGGAGGAAATGCCGAAGCGGGAGAGTGCGGGTATGACCGGAATGATGCCGTTGAGGTTATTCCGGGAAACATCGAAGATGGGAGGGAGGACTGGTTGAGTAGAGGGATGGCACCGTCTAACCGATTGCCATCGGGCAGAAGATAGTAGAGACAAACCAGATCAGTCAAATTGGAGGGGATTGGGTGTGTAAGGTAAAGAAGAAGAAAGAGGGACTAGGGGTGGCAACGAGCCTAGGTTGAACTCGAACTACAACCTAATTAAATGGCTCGATTATTAAACGAGTCGAGCTCGAGCCTAACTCGGCTCGTGAGGCCCGCAAATTGGCTAATATATATAATAAAATTATAGAAAATAATATATATAATAAAAATATTATATTTTTTATCTTTTAAATATAAAATAAAAAATATGTATAATTTTTATTTTTATAGAATATAAAACGAGCTGAGCCAAACCGAACTCGAGCTTATGAATTTTTTACTTAAGCCTTATAGAATAGTCTCGAGCTGAGCTCGAGCCTAATACTATTCGGCTTGGCTCGGCTCGAATCCACCCCTAAGAGGGAGAGGGACTAAGGGTAAAATTAGATTTAAAAAAAAATACATGTCACTTGTGTATAAATTTTGATGGAATATCAACGGATCCTAATGGTTAGGGGTGTCAATTAGACTGGATTTGGTCCAATTCGGTCCAATCCAATGTGATTCCATTACAAATGGACCTGGTCCAATCCAATCCAATGAATATTTTGGACCATTTTGGATTGGTCCAAAGATTGTCCAATCTGTTCAAATTCCTGTTAATTTATATTGGTTTCAACTCAAACCTGGTCCATTTACACCTATGTTCTTATTTTTTATAAATGGATCAGATATTGACTCAATCTAATATAAATTCATTATGGACAAACCAGGTCCAATCCATATATGTCATATTAGTCTGTGTTTGATTTGGATGGAGTCCAACCCAAAACTGGTAAATTGACATCGCTACTAATGATAAGGGTATAGTTAGTCAATTGTTAAAAACAATAGGGGTAGTGTTAGACAATTGTCAAATAATATGGGTATACTCAGTCAATTAGACAAACCATAAGGGTAGTTTAAAAAATTTGCACTTTAATTATAACTATTAAATTTATATACGAGTATACTTGTACTTGTCTTGGTTTTGGTGTAGGTCATATAAAAATTAAATGAAATTATATAATGTTAAACTTGCCCTTACACTAGTCTCTGTTTGCACCTATGTTTTATGTTTAGGCCCGCTCCAGGCCTGGGCCTACAATTTTCAAAATTGCCCTTGGATCTAATACTTTAAGGCTGGTCCAAGCCTAACCCGACACACACATATTTATTACATATGTTATTTTATTTTATATTTTATATATATAATCATAACATAATAAAAATATTATGTATATGTAATATTTTATACATAAAAGACATGGATCGGGAATTAGGCCATATTGTGCATGGGTATGGGCTTATGTTTAGAGCCTAGAACCTGGGTTAGGACCAAGCTGTAGCCATTATTCGAGACTTAGAGCCGCAAAGCCCGAAATGGCCCATGACACTAGGGGTGTAAGTGGATCGAATTTGAATCCGATTAAAAAAGTCAATATTCAAATTTGATTCGATATCCAACAGATATTAAAAATGAATATTCGAATTCGAATCCGATTAAATATTCGAATATTCGGTTCAAATTAAACTAATTAATTATTTTAAGTAATTAATAAATATATAAAATAAATATTTTATTTATATCAAGTATATAAATATATAAATTATTTATATATTTTAATTATTATATATGTAAATTATATAAGACATTTAAATATTTTATATATTATATATAGGAATTAAATAACTGGTCGAATTCGGATATAT